AAGCTGTAACTGTATCTACTTTACAAGGTACTATCCAGACTTCTGTAAGCCCATGCATCTGGAATGAATTCTTTCACCAATGGCACAAAGAGCCAAGGACCAAGAAGCGAGGAACCAGCTTCTTGCTATGTCACGATTCAGCTTCCCAGTAAGTTTTCTCCACTAAAATTCATTTGGAGGCTTAATTCCTCGCTGTGGCAGTGTCAGGGGTGAGCCTGGTAGGAGGTATTTGGAAGGGTAGAGCCCTCAAGGCTGGGATGGCACTATGCACAGAGGGAGTTTGCAATGGGGGGGGGAATAGATTGGTTATTGCAAAAGCTGGTTGTTCATGGCAAAGCTGCCCCTTATGTTGGCGCAGACCCTCTTACTCCTCCACTTTCTGCTGTGCACAGGGCAGCACAGGGCCCTCAGGAGAAGCCAGGCAGGTGCAGCCAACTGATCTTGAACTTCCAGCCTTTAGAACTGGAGCTCAGTAGACCTCTTTTCTTTATAAATTACTCACCCCTGGGTGTTCTGAACAGGAATAGACTAAGATATTCCCTTAAGTGAGGATACCAGTAGAAATCTTTGTTTGAGACAAGGTCTTCCTCACCTTGAATTCACAACAATCCTCCTGCCTCAGCCTCCCAAATGCTGGTATTACAGGCTTGTACGCTCAGCTTATTACAGTATTTAATTCTTTTATTTTATTTTATTTTATTTTTTGTCTTTTTGAGTCAAGGTCTCACTATGCAGTTCAGGCTGGCCTTGAGCTCACTTTGTAGCCCAGGCTGGTCTCGAACTCGCAACAATCCTACTGCCTCAGCCTCCCCAGTGCACGCCTGGCTATTTTGTTATTGTTAATTAATGTGAGGATACACCCGGAGATCAAGACTGTGGGAAAGACTAGATTTAATTTCATCTAGGTACAAGCAGGCTGAAGTCAGAGTGATATTGATACAGGAAAATAGAAACTCCCAACCGGAATGATATCTGGGATGAGTCTGTGTTCTCTAAAATCGAAGAATGAATTTTAGGAACAACAGAGGTTAAGAGCAGAATATATTTATTGAGGGAAAGAAAGCTTCTGTCCAAGAGAGGGACAGAAGCGGGGCCCAAGTAGGTTGCCCAAGACTCTGTCTTTTCTAGGGACTTTTATAGAGCAAAACCACGAGGTGAGGTGGGTCCAAGGTAGGGGAAAAATGGACAAAACTATGGTCAGTCAATAAGAATTGTTCAGGTAAAATTGATTAAATCAGGATCAAATAGGGATGCGTCAGGTAGGTGGGGGCCATGAATACAGAACAGGGGCTTTTCCTGTAGGGGGTTGGGTCAAGACTCTTCAAGGAGATTGCTACCTATTCAGAATATCAATCCCTGATGTTTACACCTAGGGAGGTATGTGGGTGTGTTTGTTTAGTCCTTTGTCCTGAGGTCTGGCCCATAGCAAACAGCATCTTATGTTGTCTTTTATGTTGGCTCCTTGGGGAGCCTGGCCCTGTTTGACTGCCTATAATATATCTAACTCAGCTGCCTATAACAATATCAGCAAATATCTGGAAGGGAGGTGTCTTGGCTACTTTTCTCTGGTTACTGGGACAAAATACCAGATACCCAAAATTAAGGAAGGAAATGTTTATTTAGCTCACAGCTTGTGGAGGTTTCAGTCCATCATCAGCTGGCTCCAAGGCAAGGTGGCACATGGCACAGGGGCAACAGTCCAAGGTGGCAGAAGACAGCAAAAGCAGCAAGAGCACAAGGAGGGGAACAAGCCTCTTTTCCTCCCTTATATTGTATATGGGCTATCTGCCCACGCCCATACCATCTCCCCAGCTCCGTGCCCTCCTCTTCCACAAGCCAAGGATGTTTACAAAGTAAGGACCCTGGCCCTCACAAGGCTAAGCATATATAGGGTTTGGGTTTGGGGGTTGTAGTCCCAAGGAATCTGGATGGAATGTTTGAAGTCAAAGCTGCAATGACTATCAGCACAAGATCAGCACAGCTGGGGGTCTCCCAGTGCTTCAGGGAGACTGCAGGTCTGGTCCTAAATTTCTTTATGGCCATCAGTTCTGTTTGCTAAGGGCAGCATGGATTCCTGTTGTTTGTAGAAGGCACCATGTTTTTTGGGAAGGTCTTTCTCAGTCAGGCCTGACAGTTATTCGCTACTTTTTAATCTCTTATTGTGCGCGATTTATAAATTAAGCGTTGCCATAGGTACGCATGGGGGGAAATGTAGAATACACAGGTTTGGTACTCTGAAGTCGCAGCCATCCACTGTGTGTCAATCACCTTCGCTCAATGGGACAAAATACCTGACATCTGCCACTTACGGGAGGAGAGGCTGAGTTTTGCTTACTGTTAAAGAAGGTTGGGCCGGGGACGTAGCTCAGTGGCACAGTGCCTGCCTGGCAAGCACGAGGTCGTGAGTTCGATTTCCGGTACCAAAAAAAAAAAACAAAAACCCAAAAATAAAGAAGGTCCATAGCTGGCTGGCTCAAGGCAGAAATGTCAGGGCGGAAGGGTATGCGGGGAAAGCGGCTCAACCCATAACAGTCAGGAAGCAGAGTGCTGGGAAAAAGAGCCAGGGACCAGACACAGTCCCCAAAGCTGGAACCCCACAACCCACCAGACACAAGTGTGTCTCACTAATCTTGGTCTCTCCAGCCAAGCAAGCTGACAACCAAGCCTAGCTATCACATTCCATCTAATGTCAACGCGACACCGATACACATTTTCTTAAACTGCACTTAATCTCCACATAAAGATATATAACAATGTCAAAGTTCTGCCCAACGTGAGAACTTTCCCGAGTGCAACCAAAACCACACTAATTCCTTCCTCAGTATCTCAGTGGTCCCAGCACTGCTCAAAGGTTCAAGTCCAAAGTCTCCTGTGGCTGGGCATGGTGGTTCATGCCTGTAATTCCAGCACTCCGGAGGCTGAGGCAGGAGGATTATTGCGAGTTCGAGACCAGCGTGGGCTACAAAGTGAGCTCAAGGCATAGGGAGATCCTGTCTCAAAAAGACAAACAACAACAACAAAAACAACAAACAATAAAGTCTCCTGTGAGGGCCAGGGATGTAGCTCAGCAGTACAGCGCATACCTGGCAAGTGTGAGGCCCTGAGTTGAATTCCCAGTACCAATAATAATAATAATAATAAATAAATAAATAGAAAATAAAGTCTCCTCTGAATCTCATGGCAAACTTTCAGGTGTGAGTCCCTATAAAATCCAAACAGCAAATCAGGCATGCTGGTGCACACCTGCAATCCCAGCACTTCGGAGACTGAGGAAGGAGTACTGCCAAAAGTTCAAGGCCAGTGTGGGCTACATAGCAAGACTCTGTCTCTTTTCTTTTTCTTCTTTTTTTTTTTTTTTTGAGACAAGTCTCACTCTGTAATTCAGGCTGAACTTGAACTCACTATGTAGTTTAGGCTGGCCTCGAACTCATGGCAATCTTCCTGTCTCAGCCTCCCGAGTGCTGGGATTATAGGCATGCACCACTATACTTGGCGGAAAGACCCTGTCTCAAAAAAAAAACATACTCAGAAGCATTCTGCGGTTTTCTAGGCGTAACAAAGAGTTTATTTCTCTAAAATAAAAAAAAAAAAAAAAAAAAAAAAAAAAATCTAAACAGCACTTAATGAAAAAGATGACAGAAAACAACAGGACCAAAGCAAGAATGAAATTCACCAGGCAAAACAAATCCTGTAGCTCAGCTGGGCATGGTGGTGCAAGCCTGTAGTCCCAGCAGTCGGGAGGCTGAGGCAGGAGAAATGTTGCAAGTTTGAGACCAGCCTGGGTTACAAAGTGAGCTCAAGACCAGCGTGAACTGCATAGCAAGACCCTGTCTCAAAAAGACAAAAAAATAAATAAATAAATAAAATCTTGTAGTTCTATATCCAGCACTGAGGCAGGTTGTGGTGAGGTATGGAATCCAAAGGGCTTGGACAGCTCTGCCTCTATGGTTTTTCTTTCCTTTCTTTCTTTCTTTCTTTCTTTCTTTTGTTTGTTTTTTCTTGTCTTTTTGAGATAGGGTCTTGCTATGTAGTTCAGGCCAGCTTTGAGCTTACTTTGTAGCTCAGGCTAGCCTTGAACTTGCAACAATCCTCCTGCCTCAGCCTCCCGAGTGCTGGGACTACAGCACAGGCGTAGTAGGATTACAGGCGTGTGCCACCATGCCCAGATCCCTATGGCTTTTCTGGTTGCAGCCCTCATGGCCTTTCTCTTGGACTGGCTCTGTTCCCTGCCTGTGGTTTCCATCAGCAGATGTTCCATGTTCGTTGAATTTCCAATTCTCTGCGTCTCTATGGTAGCTTTGGCTTCTCTCCTACACTTTATCCATTACCCTCTTGGAGGCTCTTGGTAGGAACTATGACCCTGCTACACCACTTCGCTTGGCCTCCCAGACCTTCCTTTGAAATCTGTGTGGAAGCCTCTGTGACCCCACAACTTTTACGGTCTGCATCTCTGAAAAATCCACACCAAAGTCTGCTGCCAGCTGAGCCATAGCTGGGCCCCCTTAAAGCATGGCTGCAGTGGCCTCTGACTGCCAGATGACTGAAGTTGGGGCAGACTTTCCTTGGCAGCACCCTGGGGCTCTCTTCTCAAAGCAAAGTCTTTCAAAGGAATTTACCCTTTACACATTGAGCCTGTGATGGGTGGGGCCTGCCCAATTCCCAAGATGCTCTAAGTCATACACTGGGAGTCCTGGACTGTATCACCAGTAGGTAAGGAGGATGGCATTCTGTACACATTATCTCAATTCTCTCAGCAGCTCCTTGAGGACAGGATGTTAATACAGATGAGGGTCAGAGAAGTAAGGTCCTAAACCACAGTCTACTGTTAGTGAGTGGCTGAACTGGGACTTGAACTAGAGGCTGGGTAGCTTCAGAGCTGTCCATCCTTATACATCCATATGATATGGAGACATGAGACCAATCATCAGTCAGCAGCCCAGACCCCTCTCCAGCTTTATCTGGCAATGCCCATGATCTCTGAGACCACAAAGAAAGATAAGTCTGCTACAAGGTCACTTTTATTTATTTTCCAGTGCCCCCAATCTCGCAGCGTGGTGTGTGGGAAATCAGACGGTCTTGCCACTTTTGTGTGGCATCTTGGCTCCCCACCAAAGAATGTCCAGGGCCACCATGCCAGTAATCTCCAGCCATGGTGTTCCCAAAACCAATTCCTGAGAGAAAGGTAGAATCAAGATGTCTCAGTCCCTGAGCTCCCCTCCCAGGAGAACAGGGACAGCCTCCCTGGCTTGCTGAGCCCATTCCAGCAAGGGACAAGGAGGGACCCCAGTAAGCAGGCAGCTCTTGTTGAAAGAAGGTGGGGCCTGAGCCATTAGTCCAATCTGACCTGGAGCAGGTTGGGTCTCTAGGAAAGCTCCAAGCAGGTCCAGGCCAGACGTCTCCTCAGCAAATGCTGGAGCCTTCACCAGATTCGGCTGACCTCCTCCTTCCTTCTAGCCTGAAAACACACTGAGGCAGGGTGATGTCCGTAACAGAAGGCCCAGTTCAACTCTGCTGGATGCCACAGTGGTGGGAGAGGACTTCTTTCACTTTATCCACAATGGTCTCCACCTCAGCCATGGCCCCTAGACCTGGATACAAAGTTCTCCTGTGGCCCAAGCTTGCCCAGGCACCCCGCCCAGCGACCTAGAACAGGTGTGAGGAACCCTCAATAGTGCACGGGCCAGGCACTTCACGCCCACCCACTTCATCCTAATCCTCGCAGACACAGGGATTAGGACCCCCATCCTCCAGCCAAGAGAGGAGAGCTGCAACAGGCCAGGATGACAGCCCCAAACTGACCCCTCCATGGCCTAGCCTGTGGCCTGCCAGGGTACCCACCTTGGTCTCCACACACCAGCTTCTTGGCCACGCAGGGAACCTCGGTGTAGCCGAAGGCCTTGAGCTGGCCCACCTGCTGTGCTGTGACCGGGTGCTCCCACATGGCTGTGTTCATGGCAGGGCAGAAGAGCAGGGGCTTGTTGCGGTCCCAGGCCCGGATGACACAGGTCTGGGAAGAAGCAGTGTTCTGCTGCTTGGCCGCTACCCATCCCCAGCCCCCAGTCCTCCCACTGTCCTCCCACCTATGACCAGCAGCCCAGGTGTAGGTTTGGGATGACACAACACGCCTTTCCCTCAACCAATGCCTGCAATGGCTGACCCCTCCCACGAGAAGCCCCCTTGAGCTCAAGTTTCTTCCCCACTGGCTGTCAGCTTTTAGGTGGGAGCAGCCCTGGGAAGCAGGGACTGGCTTTGTGGTCACCAGGAAGCTGGAGACTGATTACTCATGGAGGAGAGAAGGACTTAGCACCAGCTCTACTTCTTTTATTATTTTATATTTTTTGAGACAGAGTGCCATTATGCAGCACAGGCTGGCCTTGAACTCTCAGCGATCCTCCTGCCTCAGCCTCCTGGGTGCTGGGATCACAGCCATTTGCCACCACACCCAGCTACCAGCTTTACTGTTGAGCCAAGAAAGCCCTGGTAATTAAAGGTCCAACGGTGACAAATGCCTCTCACATGTTATCTTAGGAACCTTCGCTTGGTCCCTATAAGGAAGGCACTGAACCCTCTCATGAAAAGGCAGCAATAGTCCCTGAGGGATGAACAGCTGTGCAAGGCCACATCTGGATATGGATGTGGCCCTGAATATCTGTCGCACTAGGCAGCCTCAAGGCTTCCAAGGCTGGGCTGTCCCCAGGTCTCCCGATCGAGTCACAGGCCAGGGCCCAACCGGCTCACCAAGCTCAGTGCTGTAGGCTTTGGAGTCCTGTGGATGAGCCCTCATCTCTTGCTGTGATAACCTGGGCAGGTCATTTAACGCCAGGACCCCAGCCGCTTCTGTGCAAACAGCCCCTTCCACAGGTGGCCCCGAGGACCGAGGTGTGACTGCTTTCAAAGCTCAGCACAGGGCTGGCCATGGACAGCTCCTGCCCGGGCTACAGGCACAGGCTTGCTATTCTCGGGCTGCCGCAGGACAAGGAGCTCCCCAGGGAGACAGGGCTGGAACCTCCTCCCGGAAATGGAGTCCATCTGGGAAAAGAGGGAGAGCCCAGGGCACAATGCCGGGAAGGGGCCAGGCCGCTGTCTGCCCCTTGTGGGGCTGGCCTCTCCTGGGACAGCAAACGGCCTCAGGGGCTGGCTGCTTACGCCGGAGCTCCCGCTGCTTTCCCACCAAGTAAGCTCAGTGCACACCCAGGCCAGGAGTGGACAGTTTCGCTCACACTTCCTCTTGGTCCCAGGCCACCTGCTACTTCTTAGAGGCCACAAGGTCCCTGGAAGCCCCTGACAGCGGCAGGGGGGGCAGGGCTGGGCGGGGCTCTAAGCAGAACCTGACAGCTCCGCCTCTCCCCGTGGCTCTGCACCTCCAGTCCCAGCACTTCCTGAACAAACCGCAGCAGGAGGGAGGAGGGGGCCTGGTTCCCACAGCCAAGGGGTGGGCGCTGGGCCAGCACCCTGGGCTGTGCCCTTGGGAATCTGCTGGGTGGGGGGGCTGAATACACACCCCCAGACCTGCAGCCTAAGGAAGTCACCTTCCCTTCTTGCCTCTGACTACCCACTTGGCACAAACTGGGCCCCAGGGCCTGGAGGTGGAAGGGCCAGAGGTCATACTGCTCTCAGGATACCCCAAGCTTCAGGAACCAGCAAGAAAGGAGCTGAGAAGAAGCAGCTGAGCTTCCTTTCATGGATGAACGGGACATCCACAGAGAGAAGACAAGGCCACACCCAAGGGCTACAGCTTGGGTAGCTCAAACGCTGTAAGGACCGAGATGCTGGGACACATCTGTGCTTTCCAGTGCGACCTTCAGAGGCTAACGGCCCACCCTGGAAATGTGTCCCACTGCCCAGCAGCCCTGGAGCACAGAACCCCGAGATTTCATGGGTGACGGCAGCTTCAAACAAGAAAGGGAAAGCAGGCTGGGCTGCACTCTGAGGCTGGCCTGTGGCATCACACCAGGGCAGCCCAAGCCGGGGGCTTGCAGCAGTGGTGGCAGGCGCCTGCTCCGACCTGCTTCCTTCTGTCGGCGTGACAGCGCCTCAGCCTCGCTTCCTCCCTACTCCCAGCCACGCCATCTAGTTGTGTCCCTCTGGCCACCCTGTGCTCCTGTCACCACCAGGCCCCTGGGAAGCATCTCAGGAGCCCATGGACAAGCAGCTAAGAGCACCAATCTCACATCTGGCCCTCCGAGTCCTGACCCAGCTTCGGAATTCACCCTCATCATCGCACCAAACTCTAAAACACTCGCAAGCAGAAGTGAAAGTTCTTTCCCACAGCATGCAGGCTCCATTTATCCAGTGCCCAGCGGAGGCCCAGGACTGACTGTGGCCACTGAGGACCACAGTCCTCGCCCGCCTGCGTGAGGGTCAAACCCTCTCTGTCCAGACTGAGTGCTCTGGGTGTCCTCAGTGTGTGAAGGTGAAAGCTCAATAATTGGGGTCTAGTCACGGACAGGAGGAGAACAGTCACCCCCAAACCTTCCGAGGATGCTCTAATACACAAAGAAGTTCCTCTTGGAGGGCCATTCCTACCCTGTATAGCTGGACATGTCTGTCCCCTCTCTCAGTGTCCTCTAATATAGGAGACTGAGTCACGATCCTGGGATGAAACTACAACACAGCTGGTGCTCCGTGAGGCAGCAGATGCCTGTATGAGGTTGCCCCCCTGCACCCGGTTCCCAGGGAGAAGGCAGAGGTGGAAGAGCAGGTTGAGGCCAGCCGGTGACAGAAGATGAGGAAGGGCAGGGACACTGGATGCCCCAGTAGCACCATGATATCCAGTCCCTCCACTGGGCTGGATCTTCTGCCTGCTGTACATCGGGTGGCACAAGCACAGGGGGGGCAGGAGGACTGCATTGTCCTGAGCAAACCTGGGTCCCACAGTGACAAGGACACCTGGGGAGGGACGAGGGTGCCAGGGAGTCACTCACAAGCAAGTTGTCACAGATGCCACTGGCCACCTTCCCCAGAGTGTTGGCGTCCAGAGGAGCCACCAGCATGAGGTCCGCCCATCGCCGCAGCTCAATGTGCAGAACCGGGTCAGAGCGGCACTTCCACATCTGGGAGGGAGGACAGGGTCATGGAGAGGGCCATGTCAGTGTGGGCCTGGAACCCAGCGGGCCACGTGATCTCCCACCTGAGTCACCCCACTCTTTTTTTTTTTTTTGGTTTTTAAGACAGGATCTCACTATGTAGTCAAGGCTGGCCTCAAACTCACAGCGGTCTTCCTGCCTCTGCCTGCTGGGAGTGCTGGGATGACAGGCGTGCGCCACCCCGCCCGGGTAAACATCATCCCTTCCTGTAGCTAGCCTGGCAAGCAGCGGGCCTTGCAGCCACAGCCCGATAGAATCCAGGCTTGCGGAAACAAACGCCCCTTGTCCCGCCGAGCTATTCCCTTTATGGTCTGGTTTTCAGACAGCTGACATCTGGCAGGGAACCCCGGGCGGCTGCAGGAGGTGGGAGGCTTGGGCTGTCCCAGCCAGGAGAAGGCTGCGGGTGGTGAGAAATGGAGGGATGGGGAGGGGCACAGAGGCTGCGAGGGGCACCCAAGGCTGAGACTATTTAAAAAGCCTGGCAGTGAGGCCCACGCTCAGCAGCCCTGGGAAGCCAGGCCTCGCTGCAGCCACATGGCTGGGGCGCTGGGAACAGCTCACTCTGTGGTCTCATCAGCCTGATAAGCACAAGGACACTCAGCCCGAGGCAGCCAGAGCTGAGCTCTGCAGGGCGGAAGGGACAGCGGGGCCGGACAGATGTTCTCTGCGTCACCACTGCCCGCTGACTCAAGCTCAGCCCATCTGCTCTGGCTGCCAGGGCCACAGGCTACAGGGAGACGACCGTCCCGGCGATGGATATGTGATGATTCTCAGCCCAGGGCCCAGCACTGACCTCCCACTCATTAGTGTCACTGTAGAGGGTGACAGGAACGTCCTGGGGGCTGTAGAAGTGCTTGGCTCTCTCGGTTGTGACCACTGTGACTTCCAGCTGTCACCAAGAAAAGGGGGAGAAACTGTTACTGGAAGCACAGGCCCAGAGGCCACGCAGGGTTGGGCAGGCAGCCACTGTCCTTACAGGCTGGCAAGGAGGGGGACTTCCCCACCTCAGGGCCAAATGTTTGCACAGTGAATTCTGCTGTCACCCAAAGGTCAGGTCCTACCAGGTGCGACTGTTTCACTTCCCCATGGCGGGTGGCTGAGGGATGAGTCACCAAGTGCCCAAATATAAAAGGCGGCAGGCGTGGCCACTCTGCAGTGAGGCTCTCGGCCTGGGATGGCAGGAGGGGAACTCAGGCAAAGAAGCCACCCAAAGCCCCAGGGGCCGGAGCTGCCGTCCCCTCATTACCTCCAGGAACAAGGTCTTGCAGATGCAGGCTGCAGGCAGCTTCCAGGAGAACCAAGCCGTGGGCTCCACAGCACCCCCTTACAAAGGGTGGGTGGTCACCTCCTCCCCAGAGCAAACAGCCCTGAGAAACAGTGCCTCCAGGGAGGGCCCTGGTGGCTGTGTCACTTGAGAAACAAGGCATCACACTAGCAAGAGGCAGGAGGTGCCAGAAGCCATGCCTTTAAGCACCACTGAGGCAGGGGAGGACATCTGTCCAGGAGGAGTGACCCAGGCTGACTTGGATGAGTCCCTGGTAAGCCAGCACAACGGCAGGGGCAGCACGCAGGGACGCTGCAAGGCCTGCACAAGGCGCTACACACTTTTGAGCTCACACATGAACTGGAAAATTTCACATGGGAAATTCAATGTCCCGGCTTCTCCTAAACTACATAGTGAGACCTTGTCTCAACAGCCCCCCGACTAAAAAAACCCAAAACAAACAAGATAAATACCCCCAAACAAATAAACCACAAAGCAAAAGAACCCCAAAGCCAGGCACAACACACGAAAGGGTTTAGGTACCAGGGCCCCTCTGGTTCTGGGGATTGTGGCTAGGCAAGCACTCTGCCACTGCCCTCCCTGGTCCTTTTCTTCTTGAACCTCAGTAAACTCTCCAGGCTGACTGGAATTTGTAAGCCTCCTGCTTCAGACTCTTGAGTACCTGGGATTATAGGCGTGCACCATTACACTCTGCTACAATGAATGCTTTCTCGCTTTTTGTTTTGGTTTGGTTTTTTGAGACAGGGTCTTGCCATGTAGCTCGGGTTGGTCTTCAACTCACTATGTAGCCTGGGCTGGCCTTGATCTCCTAGCAATCCTCCTGCCTCAGCCTCCTGAGTGCTGGGATCACAGGCATGCCCATCATGCTTAGTAAGATTTTTCACTGGCTGTGAACAGGCTGATCACGTCTCCAGACAGTCTTGGAGGTCATCCTAAAATTCCATCGCAGTATCACCTGATTCCAAAGGTACTTTATCTCATCCCCAACTAAAATTGATGCACCTTGTTCCCAGTGAGCCCAATACAGCCGCTGTGACAACCCCTTCCTGAATGCTCCCTATACAAGCACGAGCCTGTATTGGCAATCTGGAGGCACTTCTTCTGCCTTCTTGATAAACGGGCGCCAAGCCTCTCCACCCCTGGCCCCCGGATATCCCCACACATCCTGAAAGTCACCAGCCATGACTCTGTGACCTCAGCACCCAGAACAGAACTTGTTCTAGGTCAGGAGATGAATCACCAAACTCGTCTTAGTTCCCTCCTATCACTGTCCTACTTTTTCAAACTCAAAGAGGGTGATCCCAGCACTCAGGAGGCTGAGGCAGAAAGATCTCCACAAGCTTGAGGCCAGCCTGGGTTATGTATAAGTTCAAGGACAGCCTGGACTATGCAGGAAGACCCCACACACCCCCCAAAAAGGGCCAGGCATGGTGGCCCATGTTTGTAAATCTTGCCACTTACAAGGGTGAGGCAGGAGAATTTCAAGTTCAAGGTCAGTCTGGGCAACTTAGCAAGATTCTGTCTCAAAAAAAATATAAAGGGCTGGGGACGTAGCCCTTTATGGGTAAGGTATTCCTGGGTCTGATCTCTAGTACCACAAAAAAACAGAAAAATGATAGAGAAGTAGGGGATCACTCCCATTTCTCATCTCCTCTGCTGATGTCACCCTGGCCTTCATCCTCAGACACTAATTCCATTCTTTTTTCTTTCTTTCTTTGTTTCTTTTCTTTTTGCAGGGCAGAGGGTTGAGACAGTGTCTCGCTATGTAGCTCAGGCCGGCCTTGAACTCACAGCAATCCTCTTGCCACCTCCACACCACCCCTGGTGCTCCAGTCCTTGGTCTGAGTTCTCATGCTGCCTCTCGGCAGCACAGAGGGGTCTTGGGTGATGCAAACAGCCTGTGCCAGGCAGGTCCTCCAGTGCCCCTCCCTGACCCAGACAGGCAGCCACATCCTTGGTGGTGACCCGGGCGAACAGTGGACAGGCCCGGGCCGGTTCTTCTGGTTCTTGACGGATGCCACTGGATCCAACTCATCAGCCCTCTGGCTTGGATCTTTCAACGTCATTCATTCAAAAGGGCCTGGGAGCCACGGGCTGGGCCCTGGGTCCGCACACATTAGAAAACAGGGTGTTGGGGCTGGGGATTTAGCTCAGTGGCACAGCGTCTGCCCAGCAAGCGCAAGGTCGTGAGTTCAATCCCCGGTACCGGAAAAAAAAAAAAACAGGGTGTCACGCTACCTTCTGAGGTCCTAAATCATCCAGACCATTCATTCATTCATTCATTCATTTGACTTTCCAGCAAACGCTAGACTCTCAGCAGGGCAGGGATTCTCCCAGGCCTTCTCAGCTCCTCCTGCGTCCTGGTAGCAGGCATTGCAGGGTTCCTGACGGCCAGTCCCCATTGGGTCCCTGTAGAGATGCAGGACAGTTCTGTATCTAACACTTCTACCCAGAAGCCCCCCGTACGACAGGCCTGGGGCCAGCCAGACCTCATTATATCAGCTGCCTGCACTTTGTCTAGCAGTTCTAGAAACAACTTCCCAAAACCACTCCATGAGTCTGGTTTTCTGTTCTCTGCTGAAGAAACAGCAAGGATCCTGACCTGGCTGGGTGTGGTGGTGCATGCTTATAATCCCAGCACTCTGGGAGGCTGAGGCAGGAGGACTGTAAGTTCCAGCCCAGCCTGGACAACTTAGGCCTCCACCATGTCTGTCTTCTTGCCTGGGCTTGCAGGCTGCTGGCAGACGGCCAAGGTAGACCAAATTCAACACCCAAGGTCACTGCTGCCCAGAACAAACCTGGGGTGCTGGTGTCAGGGCCCCATACAAAGCTTCAGGACACTGCTGGTGGCTTTTCTCCCCAGCTGCCAGTCCATAAGGCTTGTGGCTAAGTCCACCCCTCCTCCCTGTCCTCCTCGTCCTCGGCTGGGTTGATAGCACTCCAGGGACACCTGCTGGGTCAGGAGCATCATGGGCCAGGGCTGCAGAAGCATCCAGCTCCCTGCAGCCAGCACCTGCTGCTTCCCGGTTGGGTAGACCCGGGTGTCCTGGAGGGAGGCTTATGTCTGGAACACACTGCTTCTGAGGGTGACCCAGATGGGGCCTGCGGGGCTCACCTACTGAGCCAGGCCTCAAGATAAAGACAGAATGAATAGGTCTACATGACTCCCCAGGGGATAAGCAATAAATTGAGAATTAGGCTACAGTTGGTCCAATAAAGTCTAGATAGACATCAGTCCCCCAGTTGAGTGACAAGGACCTCTTGATCCATCCCTTCCAAAAAAGGTCTTTGAAAAAAAAAAAAAAAGGTCTTTGTTCTTTCCATATGCACTTGCTACGTGACCTGCTTCCCCTCGGGATCAATATTACTAAGTGGCTATGCTTGTAACTGTATTGGTTGATCATATTTTCCATTGTTGTTGTTTTGTTTTTTGTTTTTTTCCGGTACCGGGAATCAAACTCATGACATTGTGCTTGCCAGGCAGGCACTGTGCCGCTGAGCTAAATCCCCAGCCTGGTTGATCATAGTTTTGACCCAAGTTGTACCCACCTCATGATTTGGCTCTATAAAACTTCCCCTGTGAAGTGGGGTTCACAGCAACCCACTTTCAGGTCCCTTCTTTTCTCTTACGAGCTATCTCTCTCAATAAACTTTTTCTACAGTTAACCTCCATTCACTAGAATTCATTCTTGGATTTGGTGGAACATGAACTCAGTGTATCTGACATATAGCAGGTTGGGAGTTACATTTCCCCTATTTCACTGGGATGACCATGGCCAGCACACCGCATGGGACCCTGCAGCACAAAGCCAGGGTGATGAGCTGTCCCCTGCAGGATGAGTGGCATGGGGACCTGTGCATGGGCAGGGGACAGGAGGGGCACTCTCTTACCAGCCCAGCACCCGTTGCATGGGGAGTGGGGTGGACAGGAAACACATGCTGTCAAGTGCTTCTTCCAGGCCTGGTCTGTGCTTGGCCACTGGCACAAGAGACAAACTGTCATCTATGCACCCCCATCCCCAGCCCACATGTGTCCCCAGGAGGCCAGGCAGGGGGTCCTTCCTATCCCAGTGCCCTCTGGCTCCAAGCTGCTGCAGAACTGACCTGTCCTCCCAGCTGGACATGCAGGCCAGAGGGGCTGGGCATCTCCCTCCCAGGGAGCTTGGTCAGCACACCCCAGGTGCAGCTGCGGGGGCTGGAGGAAGTGGTGGGTGCCTTGCCCCAGTTCAGCTGTCCATCTGTTTCCTGGGCTAGGCCTCCTGTCCCCACACACCCAACAGGAAACCCACTTGCTCCGGGTCATGGGAAAGGAGTGTGTGGTTCCCGCCTCCCAGGGAGGTGGTGGCAGAGGCCCTGCAGCCCTTCCAGGCCCCGGTGCTCAAGGCTCCACCAACAGCTCCCACCCATGGTTCTGGGCACAGGAGGAGGTGGCAGCCCCTGGCGGCACTGCCCCCAAAGTGCTGTGCTCAGTCTCAGAGCAGCCCCTAGATCCTGCTTATCCAGGCCTAGGGGTAGGGAGGGGGCGACTTTCTCGCTAGAAGTTTGAGGAAATTAAAAAAAAAAAAAACAAAAAAACAAAACAAAAAAAACCAAAATAAACCTTCCTGGCCTCTGACAGGGGGCCCCATGTGGTCATCTGTGGGTGAGCAGCGCCCCCTGCTGGGAGTGTCAGACACAGTGCCTGGGCCACACCACACTAGGGATCTGAAGATTCCAGTATGGAAAACACTGGAGAAGAGGACTCTGTGGTGGTGGGAAAGGGGTCTAGGGATGGGAGACCGGAGAGCAGGAAGGGGAAGAGGGGTAAAAATGATTTAGATTCGATTATATGTATATGTACCAATTCTGCAAGATGAATGTCATTGTGTATTAAAAACATGTACTAATAAAAAAAAAGAAAGAAGAAACACAGTCTGAGCCCAGAGACTGAACATCTCCCAAAACCTAGTGTCCAATAACATGAATGGAGTGCAATATGACCTATGGTTCCCTGATATTAGTCTAAAAGGAGAGGAATGGCCAGGTTGGGTGTTGCATGCTCATGATTCCAGCACTCTGGGAGGCTGAGGCAGGAGAATCACAAACTAGAGTCCAGCCTGGGCAACTTAGCAGACTCTGTCTCAAAAAAAAAAAAAAAAAAAAAAAAAAAGGCCAGGGATATAGCTCAGCAGCACAGCACCTGCCTGAGTTTGATTCCTGGTACAAAAAAAATAAAAAATAAAATTTACAAAGGGGATGGAGCTCAGTGCAAAGGCCCTGGATTCAATCCCTAATTCTGGGGGGTAAAAAAGAAAAAGAAAATTCATAAAATAAAAGGGGGGGAATAAAACCGTGTAGGCTGGTGAGGAAGGCTTCTGCGTGGGCTCTGAAAGGTGGGAGGAGCGGAGGGGGCAGTGGGGCCTGATGGGGTGTGCCCCAACACGATTCATGGGGCATGGGGGCCACAGGGACATAGACTCCATGGACGCTGAGGCCAGACCAGGAAGTGGAGCCTCTGCCTGTAGATTCCATTGTTCCAGGCTTGGAACTTCCGCCCCAAGCCCCTTATACAAAACCAACCGAAGCTGAGGCTGCTTGACCAAGAACAGGGAGCAGAGCTCCTTACCCAGCTCACAATGGTGGCTCAGGGGACCTCTCTGAACATCTGAGCCAGCAGTTTGAGACCAGAGCTGTGCACCACAGTGCCTATGACCAATGGGGCAATCACAGTGTCCACCAAAAAGGGACAGAGCCACTGCAGGAGGGTGAGAGGGGTGCTGGGGACCTGCTATACCTCCTGGTCCTCTTCTGTGGGACCTCAGGAACTAGAGCCAGGGGACAGGCACCCTCCTGCACCATGAAGCTAATCTAATTTATCCTGTGCAGGGGTCTCTGTCCCATGGGGGGACCTGGACAGATGAAACCATCAGGAACAAGAAAACGCCATGCACTACAGAGGAACGGACTGGTCCCAGGGCCCACTGCACTGTCCAGAAGGGATACTCACCCCAGGAACATCCAAAAGCTTCGACACCAGAAGGGGCAACTTCAGGGCAGCCACACTGCCAGTGACACCCACAAGAACGTGGAATTTTCTGTCCACCTGGGGTGTGGCGACCGTCCTGGAGGCACTTGGTTCCATGAGGGCTCTGGTGGCTTTGGGTTCCTGAAGCCCACAGGGCAAGGGCTCCAAGAAGCAATGTGTGACTCAGGAACTGAAGACGAACAAAGGGCATCCCCTGAATTCACGTGTTCAGCCAAGAGGCAGGCAGAGCACTGGCACGAGACCCTGCCACGAGCTAGGCTGCCAGGGAACAAGCAGCCCAAGCTTCTGGCTGCTCATATTATGGACAGCTAAGCTAGACGGAAATTAATAGGTGGTCAGAGAGGGATCAGGCCCGTGAGGGAGTCTGTGCAGAGGATGAGAAGCATCAAAACTGTGACTGGGGGCAAATTTAAATACAGCCAGGCCTAAAGAAAAAAAAGACAGCCAGGCCTGCGGGCCTCCCTAGAGATAAACAGCAGCCTGAGATTGTACTGTAATTAGAGCTACCTGATCCAGTAAGCCTAGATAGACATCAGGCTCACAGGCCGGTGACCAGAACACCGTGACCCACACTCCCATCCCTTTCCAGGGATGCCTTGGCTCCTTCTATGTCAGAAGTGACAGATAAGCCAAGGTTAATGATACCTTGCCATACAGCCTTGCTACATGCTCACTTCCCTACTGGATCAGTAACAGCTAAGCAGCTACACTTGTAATCCTCTAAGTTGATTGTAGTTTGACCCGCATTGTGATTCTGCCATATAAAATAACCTTGGACAAAGAGCCTCTGTTGCAACCCACTTTGGGGACCACTCCTGTCTCTTAGGAGCTTTCTCTCAGGAAATCTTTCCCACACTTAACCTCTGTCCTTGAATCCATTCATTATCAGGAGACACCTATTTGGCACATCTGACGTGTAACAGGTTGGAGTTATTACCCTGTGACAGTCACAGTGGGTAAGAAAGTCAGACCCTGACTATAATCCCAGCAGTTGGGAGGCTGAGGCAGGAGGATCATCTTGAGTTCAAGGCCAGCCTGGGCCACACAGTCTGAACTACATATCAGGACCCTGTCCCAAAAGAAGTCTGAGCTGCAGAAAGAGCTGGTGGGCAGGCTGCCCTGGGCAGGCCTGAGAGCTGTACTCACTGAGTCTCCAGGACCCAGGGTCCCAGCCAGGCAGGTGAGCTGCAGCTGGAAAAGTGTAGCCTCTGTCATTTAGAAAGACGGGGTCAGGGGTGTAGCTCAGCACAGGGCACTTGCCTAGCACGTGAGGCTGAGTTTGATCCCAGGTGCACGCGCGCACACACACGCACACACGTACACACACACATAGGGCCAAAGAGCCCGAGTGTGTGACGTCTACATCTCCTTCTCTGAAATTTAATTCAGGTTTCAGGGATGCCTGCCAGCCCCAATACAGGCAAGGGTGGAGCCAAGCCAGAACTAGGCATAAGAACGGTAGCAAAGTAAGAGAAGTTTGAACGGGCAAAAGCTAGCACCACACAGGAAGGGTGAGGGACCGGGGTCAAGGGTAGCACCAAACGGAAGGAAGTAGCTAGTAGGGATCTGGAACCCATGGAGGCCCACTCACCCCCGAAGCCGCGATCACGGCTCCTGCCTCCCGCCTAGGTTGACTCAGGACCTAACTAGTCACTCAGCCCCCGACGCTGCTCACCCCGCCAGGTGCCTCTAAGGGAAGGCCCTAAATATCGCGGTACTTCACTCGACCTTCCCACGGATGCCAAATGACACGCAGTCTCGCGAGAGCACTGGGCCGGAGCAAGGCCGCATAGCCTGCTGGGAGTTGTAGTCCACTTCTCTGCACGCAGGGAGGTGTAGTCCACTGGGTGAATTTTGACACAAATCCTGACTCTGTTCTTTGTATTCTCTGGAACGCTCGCCAAAGCCTGGCCTCACTGCACAAACGCCTCTCCCCAACCCACACATTCACAGTATCCAGGACTTGGGCACTTTACACTGGGTATTTACCACGTCTTATCTGACAAATCAGATGCCAGTGGTGGGGGGGGGGCGGGGGGAGGGACAAACAGGGACACAGAAAAGTCTAGCCCAGGGTCATCCATGAAGAAGAGCAACATGTGTGGCAGAAACGCCTCTCTATGAGGGAGTCCCTTGAGGTGACTCTTTCAGGTTGACTAAGACAGAGGACTGGAGCAGCTCTACAGGCAGAGGCCACAGCATTGGCCAATGGAAAGCTGCAGGAGAAAGAATGCTGGGTGCATTTCCTGCCTTTATTGTCCAGCATTCAAGGACTCCAGGACCTTTAGTTCATGAGGCTGCTTACCCCACAATGGGGTCCCAGCATGAGTACTAAGGAGCTCCAAGCTCTTCTGCCTTGTCCACAGTGACCATCTAGACATTGATGGCAAACCTTTTAGAGACAAGTGCCCAAATTGCAACCCCAAACCCACTTATTTATCGCAAAGTTTTTTTTTGTTGTTGTCTTTTTGAGACAGGGTCTCACTATGCTATTCAGGCTGGCCTTGAGTTCACTTTGTAGCTCAGGCTGGTCTTGAACTTGCAGCGATCCTCCTGCCTCAGCCTCCCGAGTGCTGAGATTACAAGCGTGCGCCACCACGCCCGGCTATTGCAAAGTTCCAACACTGCAATTAAACCTAAATACTGAGGTATGAGTTTAGAAAAACAACTCATAGCCTGGTGTGGTGCTGCATGTCTATAATCCCAGCACTTGGGAGGCTGAGGCAGGAAGATCACTGTGAGTCTGAGGCCAGCCTGGGCTACATAGTGAAGTTCAAGGCCAGCCTATATGACAAAGGGAGACCCTGTCTTAAAAAACAAAGCAAAATTTTTTTTGTCTTAAAAGAAAAACAGCATGCATGCCATAGGTTCACCACCGATCCACACCAAGCCAGCTCTGTCCCAAGTCCCTGCCGCCTCCTGCTTTCTCCTCAATGTCACAGCCCCAGCCTCTAATAGACACGAGCCTCTGAGGAACTGCAAGGCCTACCCAAGGCCGCCTCAGAGAAAGAACCACGCAGAAACATGTGACTTGGTGCCAGGCAATGAGTGTCAGGGTTCAAGCCACCCAACCACCACGTACCTGCCCTGCAGCCCACAGCAAGGCTCCATGTGGGCCCCCATTAAGACACATACACACAGGGGCTGGGGATTTAGCTCAGCGGCAAAGCGTCTGCCTGGCAAGCGCAAGGTCGTGAGTTCGATTCCTGGTACCGGAAGAAAAGACCAAAAAAAAAAAAAGACACATACACACAGAACACAGGACCACATGTTCCCCTTTATTACGGTTCACTCGGTTACCACAGATAGACATGTTGGCTCAGGCAGGTCAACTGCCAGCCAGGGAATGGTCTGTGTCTCCCGGAAACAAGGAGGGCAGTGGGCACCAGGAGAATGCAGAAGCAGGCCTCTGGCTGGCCGCAGACCTGACTGGGCCCTCCTCCCTCTTCCTGGGCCAAGCTGGGCCCATTCCCGGCCCCACAGCTTACATGGGTTCCCTCCCAGGAAGTGCATAGTTGCTGGGAGCCGCAGCATCCTAGGGCCTGAGCAAGCCAGGCTAGGTGCAGGAGACAAGCTTTCCCCAGGGCAGTGCCAGGTCTGACCACGTAGGTCTCATCCAGGAAAGAGAAGTGGGACAGGAAACTGATTGGAGGTGGCATTCAACAGATCGTGAATGCGAGGCTGGCAGCTGGACCACAGCACTCCAGAATGACCAGAGGGACAAAGGGAAAGGGAGCCAGAAGTCTGGGGTAAGAGGGAGGAAAGGAGAGGAAGGGCCTGGACCTAGAGCCTGGGATAGCTGCTCTCCAGAGAGAATGGCAGAGAAGGGAACCAGTCACAGCATGGGGCTCAAGCCTGAGGGGCCGTCAGGAAGAGGACTCTGGGGAGGACCTGAGTCCCTCAGGGAAGAGAAGCCATGGAAGGCCATGCTCTGGATGGCCTGAAAACCCAGGTACTGAGCTCCACATGGAGCCAGGGCACCCATCCAGCTAGCCCAGGGAGGCTCCGTCAGAACAAGGATGGTGGGGACAGGCAGCTGCGCCCTCGGTGAGCACCCCACCACCACCACTGCAGCCTCCCACAAAGCTGTGGCCACCCCCTGCTTGAAACAGAACAGCCTCAGGCCTGGACTCACTCCCTGGAAGCGGGCTGAGGAAAGGCCAGGAACCAAGTCCCGCAGGCAAAGAACAACTTAGCTGGATGTGGAAAAACAGAGCTAAACTAAACCCCTCCTGCCTGCCTCACCAGAACTCCTCTTCCGGCCTTTGTGCTTGCGGTGGGGATGGCGCCTGGCACTTCTTCCTGGGCCTGAACGCAAATGTCCAAGGCTGCCCTGTGGCCACGAGCAAGTGGGGCAGAGGCGCAGGCTCCTCTCTCGAGAGCCCTGTCTCCCTGTCCTCTGAGCTAACCCTCCCTCCTGCCACTCCAGTAGAAGAGCTATGCTTCCAGGAACCCAGTGGTCATGCAGAGACCCTAGAAGTCCTGCGGGCCCGGGCCGGCCAGGCCTCTGTTAGGGACCCGTGATTATTTACAGTTTCTGCTCCAGTTTTGAGGTACGGGTGACACCTGCCCAGCGAGACCCAGCTCTTCAGAGAAGGCAGAGGGGGTATCATGAGGAGGCAGCAGGGGGCTTGCTCAAGGGGGCTGGAGGCGGAGAAGGGGAAGGCACAGGAGGGAAAGGGTAAGCCCGACTCTGCAACCAAGCTGACAGCCAAGGAGACCAGGCCTACATTTTCTTTCCTGGGAGCCAGGTACCCCCGGGGGCTCTGCACGTCCAGCTGCAAGCCCCCACATCAAGGCTGATGTAGCTTAGTCCCCTGCCAGCTTCCTGGAGCTGGGAGTCCAGTCACGCTGGGAATCTGCGCTCAGTCTCAGAGCAGATGTAACTAAGACACTCAGCCTCAGGGGGACAAAGAAAAACCACTCAGGGAAGAGAGACCCTGGGCAAGGGAAGTGTGCAGGGGATCTGAAGGCAGGGAGGACACAAGCGGGGAGCATGGAGGGGTCCCAAGGAGCAAGGGGAGATCCTGTTTTTCTCAGCAGGACCCAGGTGGAAGTAGATTCAGCTCAGAGCCTGCAGAGGGCACGAATGCCCCAGGGGTCCTGGGCCAGGGTCAGAGGGGGTGGCATGGTGGAGGGGGCGCTGGTTTGGTTCTAAACATACATCTAGCACCACGACAAGAGACCTCCACTGCACTATTTCACAAGGGCACGGGGACACGGCAGACACGGCACCAGATGGCTCCGCGCACAGCCTGTGGCTCTGAGAGGCGAGCGGGGACAAAGGTGGACAGATGCAGATATATATATTCATATATATCTGATTCTTTGTACAAAGTAGGGGAAAGAGGAAAGGAAGAAGGGAACCCTGCTTGGTCACCACAGCCAATGTGGCTCGAGCCCCCGTCCCATGCCCTGGCCCTGCCTCTGAGCGGGTGTGGCGGGCTCACATCTCATTGGAATATGTGTAGCTGGGGGTGGCGGAGTACTGGGGCTGCGGCTGGCTCATAGCCCCCTGGGCTGCCCCCATAGCCGCGTTCTGGGCTGCCTGCTGCACGTGGGGGTTCTTCCATGCACCCGTGGTCCACTCCTCCTGTGCTTTGCTGAAACTCCCTCCACTGCCCCGGTAGAACTTATGAACCTGTTGGAGAAGAAGCACAAGGGCTCATCAGCCAGGAGTAGCGGTGCACACCTGTGATCCCAGCACTCGGGAGGCTGAGGCAAGAAGATCACTTCGACTTCAAGACCAGCCTGAGCTCCATAGTTAAAGGCCAGCCTGGACTACATAGCTAGGCCCTAACTCAGAAAACCTAAAAAAAAGAAGTGTCTGCCAAAGGGAAGAGGCAACCCATAGCCCCTCCAGGAAACAGATGGGATCCATCTACAAAACAGCCCTCCTTCCACCCCCACATACCATGCAGGTACAACAGATCTGGCAGGTGACTCCAGAGAGGCTGACATGGAGGACCAATGTCTGCTCACAGTCCCATCCCAAGGTCACCCACTCCCCTCTGGGTGGCCACATACCATGCTGAGGGCGATGAAGGAGAAGACGGCCATGACCGTGAACATGATGGTGGGGATGAGCATGACCACAGCCGAGCCGACGTTCGTCCCGAAGAAGGAGATAGTTGCGATCCAGCCGCTGTGGAGAGAGGCCAGCATGGGCCGTGTAGGCACGGAGGACCCAGGAGCCCCTACTACAGCCAAGACCACTCTACTACCCCAGGAGAAGCCATGTCGCTGACACACAGGGACTGTCTCATTGACACCCAAGGCCGGCCAGTGGCTTGGGAAGACCCCTACCTGGGCTTTCCCAGAGTGTGTGACACCCCCAATCACCCAGGAGCCACTGCTGGGTTCCTGTTCCCGTCGGAAGCTACCCCTGATCCTCTCACTCATCCAGGAACTGGCCACTCAGTGTCCCCCTAGGCTAGGCAGCTCAGCACCTTACACTCTCACCCTGCCACCCCTACTGGTCCAGAGCAACCCCACTTCTTACCAGACGCCCCAGCCTGGGATGCCCACGGCCTGGATGATGCTGATGACCAGCTGCGCCATGAAGGTGAAGAAGAATGCCATGAAGCTGAAGGAGCTGTCAGTTCTGTGGCAGAGAAGATGGCTTCTAGCACCCAGAAGAGGGCCAGGGCTTCCCTGCCTTCAAGGACCCCATGCCCTCCCAAGGGTGAGTGAGTGCATAAGGGACAGAGGACACACAGAGACCTCAATCAAGAGGCCAGAGTGGCACCTCCTCATCCATAGATCTTCAAAGGCATCCATGGGCCCAGCTATGTGAGCGACACTAAACAGGGTTGGGATTCTTTGGGCATGGGGCACCTATAGGGCCTGCAGGCACAGAAATAGATGGCCCCACTACGGCAGAAACAAATAGTCCCGTCATCATCAAGGGAATGGGCAGCTCACTGGCCTCAAGCCAGCTATCTTCATGGGGACACAGACTGATGGTCCCATAGGCTCCGAGAGAGCAAATCCCTTTGGCACTAGAATGGACACCTTATTGGCACCAGCACAGTAGTTAATTGGCACATAGATAGTCCTGCTGGCAAAGAGATATAAGGCCCCACTAGCATGGAGATGGACAGTGTCTGGCATCAAGACAGACAACCTTATTGATACAGTCAGTCCCAACGGTATAGACACTAAAAATCCCCTTTGGCACTGGATGGGCATGCACGGCACCAGGACAACTATCCCAGTGACACATGGATGGTGCTCCCTTTGGCACGGAACTGGGTAACATCATTAGCACATGAAGGGTGTCAGTGGTTCCTGGATGGCTGGGCACCTGAACTGATGATCTTGTTGTACCCATCAGCAGGGATAAGGATGGGAAGATCCACAGACAGGAGAACCCACAGGACAAGTGAACATGTGGCTTCCCAGGGAAAGCTGAGCAGAGGACAAAACAGGCCTGGTCTCCATGCGGACCCCACCCCGGGGAAAGGAAGCAGGGAAGGTCCTAGCTCCCAGCCCTCTCATCGAGGCAGGAGCTCCCGGGAAGCCCACACCTCAGGAGGCAGTGGGAGCCAAGGTAAGCAAGAGAAAGTAAGGCTGAGGGAGTGCAAACACAGAGTGAGAGAGAGAGAATAGGAAAGAAAGAAAGGAAGGGAGCTGGGCACAGTGCACACGCCTGTAATCCCTGGCACTCTGGGAGACTGAGGCAGGAGGATCACAAGTTCAAGCCCAGCCTCGGCAATTTAGTGACTTAACAAGACCCTGTCTCAAAATGAAAAATAAAAAATAAAAATAAAAAATGAATGTCTGGGGATGTAGCTCAGTGCAAAGGTTCTGGGTTTAATCTGCAGTTCTTATTTTAAAAAAAAAAAGGAATGACAGAAAAGAGCTGTAAAAGAACAGACAGGGGGGTGGACACAGAGACAGTGCTAGGAGCTGAGGTCAGCGCCAACCACTTACTTGAAGGCCTTGTAAATGGGCCGAAACCAGCAGACGTAGGAGCAGGGCGTGAAGAGGATGAGCCAGAGAAAGGCCAGGCCAAAGTTGGTGGCTCCCCCGCCTCCGATCAGCCACGCGAGACAGCCCACCAGGTTCACGGCCAGCGTGACGCTGTTCACTGCAGACCCACGAGCATACACACAAAGAGAGAGACACACACATACACGTACACACACCCAGAATTCAAACATGGACTCACAGTCAAACACGAGCCAACAGCACAGACAGGTAGAGATGCACACACACAAATTACACACACATGCAAACCACATTTATAGATTCATACCCGTACAGAAAACCCACATGTCATACCAGTGAATGCATATGCATACACACAAGACACACACACACGCACACATGCACACACACACACAGTACAGATGTAAGAAAGCAGGCTGGAAGCCCAGACCAAAGCCCTCCCCACCCCCACTCCCAGAGACCTGAGAAACCTGGAGCACAGTCTCAGAGCCAGAGACCGGAGCAGGGCCCAGCAGGATCCTTTGGAGGCCTGGCCTCAGGGTGGGAGAAACGCTCCTCTCCTGGCAGAAAGGCCAGTGGATGGGGGTGCAACTCAGGGCGGTGCACAAGCTTAGCGGACACCAGGCCCTGAGTTCTGTCCATATGTACAGAGAAGCCTCAGTCCTGGGCCCCCCCAGGGATACAACAAGCACCAGGCCCAAAATGGGAAACACATCTTACACCTCTTCTTACAAGGCTGGTCACGGAAAGGGGAAGGCAAAAGGCCTCCTGGAAGTGTTTCTTCATGCCCCAAGCCACATGCTCTGCAGTTCCATGGAGTGGCAGCAGTGGCTGGGACCTCAGTCTATCGTTCTTTTATCTTTTTAATCAATTAATTATTTATTTTTATCTTTTTGAGACAGGGTCTCCCTATGCAGTTCAGGCTGGCCTCGAGCTCACTTTGTAGCCCAGGCTGGTCTCGAACTCGCAATGATCCTCCTGCCTCAGCCTCCCAAGTGCTGGGATTACAGGCGTGCGCCACCACACCCGGCTCAGTCTATCACTCTTCCTCCTTTCTGAAGTCCCTGTACTCATCTCCGTCCTCTGAGCTCCTGCAGACCTGCGTTGCACACATGGTCACTTGAAACAAACCCCAGTGCACCAAACAGACCAGACCTCCCTTTCCCCAGGGATCACAGTGTCACTGAGTCCCATGCAGCAGGAGGCTCCGGGGATGCCCCATGTCACATGCTGGCACTGACATCAGGGCGCCCCCGTGCTTGACCCCGGGCTGAGTGTGCAAAGCCCTACAGCACACATGACAGCAGGCCCCAGACAGGTGGCATCCATCTCAGGAGAGCCCTTCAGCATCTTAGGGGTGACACACGTTCCCTCAGGCTGCAGCCCTGGCAGGTGCCCAGTGAGGACTTAGGAGATATTTATAGGCCTTAAATCCAGCTCTGAGTGAGATCTCCCCAGGGCCAGCGTCCCAGGAGCCTGGGGTCAGGAAGAAAGAAGGCTCCCTAAGTCTGGCCAAGCTTGCCCACCATGCAGGTGCGCCCACCTCAGGGCCTTTGGACACAGGTGGACGCTTCTTCCTGTGTGGTCAGCTCTGTTCCCTCCATCCTTATCGCTGCTTCAAAATCTCCTGGGACCTTGGGGTTATCCCTGATTTAATGGCTCTTTCCATAGAAAAGACATCAAGTAACCCATGGTCACATGGGTAACCTCTCTGCCAGCTCCCCTCTCCAGCTCAGTGTCCCAGTGTTCCCCCCAGAGTTACTCTACTCCTCTCTGGAACAGACTCAAGGACTCGGCTGCTCCTCCTGCTGTCTGCTGCTTCTGTCTCCACTGCTGCCCCTGTCCAGCTTGGCATCCAGGATCCATTACCTTCCTGCCTCGCTCCCTCCCTTGCCAGGTCTTCCGGCCACACTTACCCTGGATGAACACAGCTCTTGTCCTACTTGAGCTCAATGTCCCCAGGAAGAAAGGACACAGAGGGAAGCCTGGCAGGACTATAAATTTACCGCAGTCAGCCTCAAGCAGCCCCTGTGCATTACCGGAAACCTTAGAGGCCGGGTTTCCCTGGAGAGTGTCCTGCCTCTGCCACACACATGCTCTGGGCCTCCTCCCCTAAACTCCCGCACCAATGCCTACATCACATTTGACAGGGAAAAGAATGGAAGCCTTTAGCAGTAACCTCCATGTCTTCCTCCCAACATTTACAGACGCCCCTCACCTGCCCCAGCCTGTCTTTTATGTCACACGCCAGGAAATCCCTTCCTCACTCAAAGGTCAGGAAGTTTTTTTGTTTTTTTTTAAGGTCAGGAATTTTTCTTTAAAGGTCAGGAGGTTGTGTGCCTGGCACTGTGCCCTTTCTACCATGTCACAGAGGGCCTGATGTGAAGACAGCCTTTGTTACCTCTTCTAGATAATCTTGGGCCCAGGGTGGCAGCTCCCTGTAGATCTGACTCCGAGCCACATCATGGAAACAGAAATCAAGTGCACTGGCACAGCAGGTGCCTGGAGGTGGCACCCTGCACAGCAGCCTGCCTGTCCTCCCTCGCCTGCCTAAGCACTACCTTCTGAGCAGCCAGACACAGCCAAGTGCCTTTCGTCCATGCTAGTACCTTTCCCACCAAGCTGCCACTGACCATCAGTAATGGGGCCCTCCGACCCATAACCTCACTACCCTAGACCACTGGGACTCCAGGCTCAAAATATAGAGCAAGAGCCCCCAGGAGTGATACCAGTCACTGGGTCAGTGCCCCCTACCCACAACAAGGACTTGCTGCTTGTTTTGTTTTGAGACAGGGTCTCGTTATACAGTTCAAGCTGGCCGTGAACTCACTATATAGCCCAGGCTGGTCTCGAACTTGCAATGATCCTCCTGCCTCAGCCTCCCAAGCGCTGGGATTACAGGCGTGCACCACCATGCCCAGCTGGAAACTGCTGCTTGGGAAGTAGTGTGGCCAGACACACTGGCTCCCTCGCCTCCCGACTCCTAGCTGAATGTTCTTGTCTTTAAACAACCTTCCAGGAAAAGCAAGAAACAAGAGGCTTCAAGGGACGGACTCTCCTCCAAGTCCAGAATCCTGAGGTCCTGGCAGTTGCCACAGGATCCCTGGGAAACTACTCCATCAGAAGCGAAAGCGAGCACAGAGAGAGGAGTTACACTACAAAAAGAGCCTCCCAATCCAGAGGCTCTGTGAATGAGAGAGAGTAGGAAACTGAGGCCCAGCTGAGGAGCTGGTCCCTGAAAGGAGCCTGCTGGGAACCAAGTGGGGAAAGACTTCCCCATCTGCGGAGACACCACACCCGAGGCTGACGGACGGCCACCCTGCACCCCTGCCCAGTGCCCAGTCCTCTGCCTCCTCCTCCGCCCGGCCCGCCCCACACTCACGCATCCAGAGGTAGTAGAGGCGCTTGGTCATGCTGAGATGTTGCGGTGGGATGTCAGCCTCGAAGTCTTGGTAGAAACATGGCTTCAGCGGGATGAACTTGGGCAGCGGTGGGAAGTTGTTCACCTTCTCTGCAGGCCACGTACACCAGAGCCATCACCAGGATGCTCCACCCACCCCGACTGTGCCTTGCGCCCCCTCTCCCTGGCTGAGCAGCTCCAGTGTCACCCAGCCGTCCCCACTTTCCTGGGTCTGCCAAGATGACCCCATGTACCCAAGTCCCTGAGCAGACAGAAGGCTGACGGACACACTGGGGTAAGGCGTCCTACCCTGGCGGGGCAGATCCAGGAAGAGGAATGGCATAAGCGAGCCAGGAGATGGGCACCCAGCCTCCACCCAATACTCATTCATTCATTCAAGCCACTGCCCCCGTCTATTCCTTAGTTTACCCAATGGGGTAAGGTCTGGACCAGAGGGTCCCTGAAGTTACTTCCATCCCTAGCACCTGCATCCCTGAGCCTTAGAAACCAGGCAACTTGGGACCCATAGGGAACAGATCCCAGACAGGGGACACAGAGAGTGGGGGCTGGGCCACCCGTGCTGCTACTCAGTCAGCTGGACAGGAAGACAAGGGTATCGGGATGCTCGATCCTGGTGCCTAGCATCAGAAACCTGACAGGATGAGACAGGGCCATGCTGGGGCCTCAGGGGGCAGCAGGGAACAGCTAGGGTCAAGAGGACAGAAAGAATCATTTCCAGAGACTACAGAAGGTAGGGGCAAGGAAGAGGGCCAACCCCCAGCTCACACTCCTGTCCTGCCCGTGTGGCCCGCCCTTCCTTACCTGCCATGACGGCACAGCTGGCCCGCGGCCCGCCTACGCCTTTGTCCTGAACTGCAGGAAGGAAAAGCCAGAGACAGTGAGGATCGCGAGCCCCATCCAACCCGGCGCCTCTCTGAACCCCAGGGGCACTGCCAGCTTGTAGGAAAAGACCCAGGACAGCACCCAGCTCCCTGGTGCTGAGGCCCTGCACTCTGCCGAGGCAGCTCCTACCCAGAGGCCACCTCTGCACCTGCCGCCTGCTTCCGGTGGATCCTGCCCTTTGCCTCAAGGCAGAGTCCATGCTCAGAAATCAGCCCAAAGTAGGAGGGACAGATGAGACCCAGGTGGTGAAAGCCAAGGGAGAGTGAGGGCCAAGAGACCCCGCTAAGGAGGAGGTTCCACCACTCGCCTGCACAGGTTCCCTCATCAGACTTATCTGCCAGGCAGGGGAGCAGGTAGAACTGGTAGTGTGGACCCTGCCCTGTGCAGGCGGAGGTTGATAACCCCACCATGATTCATAATGCTACCTACTGTATTATAAAAGAAGAAGAAAAAGGTTGGTGAGCACAGGTTTAGCATGCGCAAGGCTCTGGGTTCCTTGCCAGCACCAAAAGAAAGAAAAAATGAAAGAGTAAAACTATTTTTCTTTTTGACCCAACAATTCTATTTACCTACAAATAAGAAACAACATACTTTATTTGATATTGTTTGAAAGCAGACTACATATTTGAATAAACTAGGTAAGTGAATTTTTTACATAGATGTAAAAAAGAATGCAGGAAAGGTCTATCAGCTGCTAAGGAATGATTTCTGAGGTATGCTAAGTTTTAAAAAAAGAAAAGTACATGGGCCAGATGTGGTGGTGCATGCCTGTAATCCCAGCACTCAGGAGGCTGAAGCAGGAGGATCGCTGCGAGTTTGAGGCCAGCCTGGGCTACAACGTGTGTTCAAGGCCAGCCTGAACTGCATATGAAACCCTGTATCAAAAAAAAGAAAAGTACAAAATAGTATAAATAGAATGTTAGCCCTTATGTGAGAAAGAAGGAGAAAAAAGAATATGCACATGAATTTGCTTAGTTTTATAGAAGAAATACAGGAAAAACAAACCAGAAATTAATGAAATGTTGCCTATAGAATGGAAGGACAAAGATGAGTAGAGACTTCCTTGGGTAAAAAAAATATATATTTTTTGAGACAGGGTCTCACCATGTAGTTCAGGCTGGCCTCAAATTTGTGCTGAGATTACAGGCATGTGCTGCTACTTTTGTATATATGATGAATTACACATTCAGAAACTTAAACCAGAAAGAAAAGCAAACTCTCAATTGAAACAAAGAAAAGTCAGTGAAGCTAACTGAACATTAAGTTGATAACACAGCACAAAAAGAATTAGCACAAGTGACTCTGGACCGCAGTACTCTGTGTCCTTAGATCCACTTGCAGGACAAAAACACCCAGAAGGAAACCTGGAGTTGTCCCAGGCTTGACTTTCACTATTGTAACACTATTTTACAAACTTTCACTATTGTAACGCTATTTCACAAACTTTCACTATTGTGATCCTACGCACTATAGATGAGAATAGTATTAAAGTTCTTAGATATTATGTAGAGCAATATTTAAGAGTGAAGCGTCACAATGTCTGAAACTTGTTTCAAACAGTTCAGAAAAAAATCTAAATGTTATATATATACATATTGATACAGACAGAATCAAAGCAAATGTGCCAATGTTAGCAACTGCTAAATCTGGGTGAAGCTAGACAGGTATCCCTTGTTCTAGTCTTTCAACTTTATACACTGTGTGTGTGTGTGTGTGTGTGTGTGTGTGTGTGTATGTGTGTGTCCCCAACAAACTTTTTTGAGATGAGTGTCTTCCTATGATGCTCAGGCTGGCCTTGAACTCCTACGTGCAACTGATCTTCCTACCTCAGCCTCCCAAGTACCTGGTAGAATACGGGATGCACAACTAGGGTGCTAAAGACAGAAATAAGGTGGAGACGGGAAAGGTCCAGAGAGAAGCTGTTTGTACAGCAGAGGCAGAGGTCAAGTGCCAAAGCCTCTGGAGAGGACAGAAGCAAGGAGGCAGAGAAGTCATGATCAGCACAGGCAAGAATGAGAACAAGATGTAAGAGAGGTAGGCAAGTCTGAGGCCATAGAATACAGGGCAAGTCCCAGAAGACAAGCTGAAATGAGGGGAGGAGGATGAGGAGAGGACCTAGGGAAGTCTACCTGAGCACTCTGGGGCCACAGGCTGGGAAAGCTAGGGCCACAGAGGACATGGCCTTGGTCTGTCTCTGAGCAACCAGGAGGTTTTCACAAAGAAGGCAAGATCGGAGCTGCGTGCTCGAGATGAACAGGAGGTGGCCAGGGAGAGAGTGAGGACAGCAGGGTCCAGGCCACAAAGCAAAGCTCGGCACAGTCCAGAAGCAGAAAGGGAGAGTGGGGGAGGGGAAGCAATGCACAGCCAGGTAGAAGGGTGCAGGGCCAGGCATCCAGGCCTTGACACTGGGGGCAGGATCTAGCTTGATCCTCAGTCACATACACCACTGAACATTCTGTTCTTCCTTTGAAAAGTATAGCTTCAGTTGGGCATGGTGGCCCATGCCTGTAATCCCTGCACCCTGAGAGGCTGAGGCAGAAAGATGGCAAGTTGGAGCCCAGTCTTGGCTAGTTAGTCACTTAGTAAAACCCTGTCTCAAAAAATAAAAAAGGCTAGGGATGTAGCTCAGTGTGAAGGCCTTGGGTTCAACAACAACAAAAAAGTATAGACTCAATGTAGTTTTTTGTGTTGCTTGTTTGGTGGTACTTAGTTGTCCAGGATGGGCTTGTACTTGTGACATTCCTGCCTCAGCCTCCCAGAGTGCTAGGTTTACACATGTGCACCACCAAGTCTAGTTAAGTTTTAAAAAATAAAAAGTTTTAGAAAATAAAATTAAAATGCTGTTTTTCAGTTACCTATAAAAATACCTGTAAGGTAAAAAAATCAAAGTGCATAAAGTAGGAAAGTCCTTCAAAACTCCACTTTCACAGAGGCCATTCTTTACCAGTTCACTCTTTAGATATTTCAGTCTCTTTGTTGGCAGTGCTGGGCAATGAACTCAGAGGCCCAGGACACTGGAACAAGGATATCACGCTGAGCTGCACCCCTACCCCCAAGGGGTTTTAGTTGTTTTTCTTTTTTTTTTTTTTTTTTTTCATTTTTAAAGTATATATAAGCATATGTGACAAAAATGAGACAATTCTAATTTTAAAACAGGAAGAAAATTCAACACATGCTGTTTTATAATCTGTTTTTTTCCCCACTCAATGATGTCTTATGAAAATTCTCAACGTTAATGAATACAGATCTATATTCATCTTTTCAATGACTGCTCAGCTGGGTTCACAATGTCCCTGGCCACGCAGCGGTCAGGTGATGTGCGGGCTGATATGGTCATTAAAAGGGCACAGCGTCCGGGAAATAGTGTGATAGAAACCAAGCTGCTGAGAAATTAGAAAAATATGAGGGAAGCCTACGGTGGAGACGTGGGCCTGATATCCTAGCACTCTGGGAAGCTGACACAGGATGACAAGATCAAGCCCAGACTGGGCAACTTAGTGACTTGGTGAGACCTATTCCAAAATATAAGAATACAAAGGAGCTGGGGATAGAGCTCGGTGTGAAAGAGCTGGGTTCAACCCCCAATAGTGTCAGAGGCAGCTGAGTTACATAGAAATATTATAGGCAGTCGGATAGGGCCAGGCCCTGGAAGGAGCCAACATGAAAGACAAGATAAAATATGTATCTGCTGTGGGCCGGACCTCAAGACAAAAGATTAAACAAATGTACCCACATACCTCCCTAGGGATGGACATCAGGGATTGATATGCTAAATAGGCAGGCTTCACCTTGAAGAGTCATTGACCCAACCCCTTACAAGAAAAGCCCGAGTTCTGTATTCATGCCCGCTTCCCCATTTGATCCTGGTTTAATCAATTTTATCTGAACAATTCTTATTGGCTGACTATAGGTTTGTCCATTTTCCCCCTACCTTTCACCTCATGGTTTTGCTCTATAAACGTCCCTAGAAAAGACAGAAAAGTCCCTAGAAAACCCACACGGCCCGCCTTCTGTCCCTCTCTTGGTCAGAAGCTTTCTTTTCTTAATAAATATATTCTGCTCTTAACCTCCATTGTTCCTAAAATTCATTATTCGGTTCCAGAGAACACAAACTCATCCCAGATATCATTCAGGTTGGGAGTTTTTATTTTCCTGTATCAGTAGCGCCAAAACAAATAAAAGAACAGAACAAAACAACAAAGAGGAAGCAAAAGCAAAAGAGGAAGCAAGTCTAGAACATTCGAATTTCAAAAAGCTTGGCCAAAATACTAACACACACACACACACACACACACACACACACGCACACGCACATACACACACAATCACAGACAGCACCGAAACATCAGATACCAAAAGACTAAGAGCAGTGACTTCATAGATGTTGTTTTCTCTTTTAATCTTTCTAAAATTCCTGTAATGGTAACTACTCCCCACCTTTTTTTTTGTCTTTTTGAGACAGGGTCTTGCTATGAAATTCAGGCTGGGCTTGAACTCACTTTGTAGCCCAGGCTGGTCTCAGACTCACAATGATCCTCCTGCCTCAGCCTCCCAAGTTCTGGGACTACAGGTGTGCACCACCATGCCCCATCTAACACACCCTTCTTGTAGTAAAGCAAAGTAGTAGGCTTACAAAGGCAACAGCTGGAAGACTGCAGGTTACAAAGACTTTCCCCAGGATAGGAGACTTGAGCATATTTTAGTTATTTTCTCTGCATTTCCAGCCAGTCTCACAGGGAGTGGAAGTCTCAGCTTGACCTCTGACTTTCACTCTCCGTCTCTTCCTCTGGTGGTCAGTCCTCAAGGTCATTCTATGAATCCGTGTTACCAACAAAACTGCTAGACAACCAACTCAAGGACTGAGTCTATGGTCTTTAGAATATCTTAAAATTTCCATATTGGAAGAGAAATTTTCTGTATCAGCCAAATGTAGTGGTAATCACACCTGTAATCCCAGCACTCAGGAGACT